ATTATATTGTGTATTAAGAAAAGTTCAGAAGTAGCTAGTGAGAGGGTACCCGTGAACACACACACACACACACACACACACGCACACACGCACTTTCCCTGAGTCATTCATTTATTATGATGATGTTGCAAATGAACTACTGATCCAGCCTTTGGTTTAGCCCTGTGCACACATACTTAGTGTGCACACTTGAATGTGCACAAATTGTGTCATTTTACGTTTTCAGTCTAATGTATTCGTTCTTGTCGGGCATTGTGACAAAAAGGTTATTTAAGTCCCCAAGCTGAGCCACCTCCAAGCCTGTGCTGCTGGCTCCATGTGTTTTCATCCTGCAAGGCAACAGACTCAAAGGGTACCAGAGGCACCACCTCCCTACCCAGATGAGTCCCTAGTGCTGCAGTTCTACGCTGGAAGCTGATTAAGTCCATGATGGGAACAAGCCTGGAGCGGCTGACGTCTTCTGAGATTTACTTCTGCTCTGTGTCTCTCGATTTCTGGTCTTATAATATAAGAATTAAAGCAGCACCCACAGCATTATCTCCTGTAATGGTTTAACAGCAACATCTAATCCTTGACCTCTCTAGATATACCAAGCTGACTAACCGGGTTAGCCAGGCACTGGCTTAGCTGGGCCATCAGTCAGCCCCAGCTACCTGCTTAGTTGAGAAGTAAATCCACCCATCAACCCGCCTTCCAGAGATGGTGCACAGTGGGGATATCTAACTCAGGCTGTGAGCTCCTGACGGCCGGCTACACTGACTGACCTGCAGATCTGCAGGGTGCGTGGAGCCAGCCACACTATCTAATCACTAACTTCACTTTTCCTTTCCTTTTTCGGTTTTTTTGAGTCAGGGTCTCTCTATGTAGCTCTGGTTGTCCTGGAACTTACTATGTAGACCAGGCTGGCCTCAAACTTACATAGATGCACCACCTGCCTCTGCCTCCTGAGGACATGGATTAAAAGCAGGCATATGCTACTATACTGGACTTGGGTTTGATTCCTAACACCCATGTGATAGCTCACAATCTTTATCTTTAGTTCCAGAAGATTCTGTATTCTTTTCTGTCCTTCACAGGCACCAGGTACACATGTGGCGCACAGACAAAACATCCAAGTACATAAAATAAATATTGTTAGGTTTAAAACACTCAATATATAAAGTAAAAGAAAAAAACCACAAAACTTAAAAACATTTTTTTTTAATTGTAAAGGTATCCTTAACCACATTATACTAGGTTGTAGCCAAGCTCTGGCCTGATATTAGTTTCAGTGGGTCATCGGGGGCAAGCAAGAGAGATGGCTTAGGGTTTAAAAGTGTTTGCTGCTCTGCCAAAGGACCTGAGTCTGATTCCCTGCTCCCAAGCAAACAGGCTCACAACTGCCTGTATCTCTATCTCCAGAGGACCTGATGCTCTCTTCTGGCCTCTGTGGGTCCCTGTATACATGTCACATCATGAACACACACAAATGAAAATTAAAGAATAAACCTTTTGGGGCTGGAGAGATGGCTCAGTGGTTAAGAGCATTGCCTGCTCTTCCAAAGGTCCTGAGTTCAATTCCCAGCAACCACATGGTGGCTCACAACCATCTGTAATGAGGTCTGGTGCCCTCTTCNTAACAGCTAGAACTCCTTGAGGAACCATTAAAGGGTGAGGCTAAACCAGGGCGGTGGTGGCACACAGCATGCCCCTTTAATCCCAGCATGGGGGGGAAAAGTTAAGTGAGAGGCAGAGGCAGGGGGATCTCGGAGGCCAGCCTGGTCTACAAAGTGAGTTCCAGGACAGCCAGAACTGTTATGCAAAGAAACCTTGTCTCAAGAAAACCCAACCAAACTACCAAACAAAAAGTTAGCTGAATCTGAGAAGCACCCAGTACATTTAGCAATTATATAGGTGCTGTGTTAATATGTTAATATGATAAAATGCTTAGCATTATTTATATAAAAGCTCATGGTGGAAAATATTCTCGACCACAGCATGGCAAACTCCCTATTCTAAAATGGCTGATGTGATTACTGAGTTAATACATGAATTATGTTTCTAGAAAAGAAGGCTTTTTACTATTCAGAGAGGTGGAAAGGGCTTTGTTTTGTGTTTTGAAGAACTTGGGTGGTATATAATGTTTTTGCTCTTACTCTTTTGGCTTTTGGGGGAGCCCACTACCCAGCTCCCAAATAAATCACAAACAGAGGCTTAATTTTTAGTTAGGAACACCTGTCCTTAGCTTGATGTGTTGTTATGCTAACCAGTTTTTCTTAACTTAATTATCCTGACTATCTTTTGCCTCTGGACTTTTCCTTTTATTACTACTTCTTCCTTTTCCTCTTCTTCTTTTTCTTTTCCTCCTCCTCCTTCTTCTTCTTCCTCTTCCCCTTCCCCTCCTCCTTCTTTTGATGCTTAACATCTTTTTATTTAGACATATAAGCAAATTTGCATGCCAGACTTTAGTCTTTGTTTTACTTGACAAATCTGAAGTGAAAACACAGAAACAGAAATGAGGGAAACAGGCATCCTCACCTGACATCATTGAGAAACGTCATGGAATTGGTGAAAGGAAAGTCCATCAATTGAGTTCGTCTTATTTCTATTGATCTAATTTTCAAATACAGAGAAAATCTCTCTGCCATTAAGTTTTGTATTAGGGTTTTTTTTTTGAAAGTTGGTAAATATAATGAGAAACTTTTATACAACTTTAACTCACCATCCTTGATCAAAATGGGCTCTCTTCTTAATTGCCCTATAATTTTGGATATGAATAGTTTTTAGTAGTTTTGAAACAGTCTTACTTATTCTCATTTTCAAGTTGTAGTTATGGCAGCTTTCTGTCAAGGTAATTAAAAAATCCCCTTATAACTTTTTTAATGGATGGATAACATACTACTACCTTTTATTACTTCCTTATGTATTACTTTCCTTCTTACTCCGTGTTTGGATGAGTGGTTGCGTGGCTGGCTGGGTGGCTGCATGGCTGGGTGGCTGCGTGGCTGGCTGGGTGGCTGCGTGGCTGGCTGGGTGGCTGCGTGGCTGGGTTGTGTGGCTGTCCCCTGAGGTCCTCCTCCTTTGGTTCTTTTGCTGCTCCTCCTCTTCCTGGATTCTTTTTCTACTGCCAGCCCTGCCTATCCTTGCTCCTGCCTTACTATTGGCTGTTCGACTCTTTATTAGACCATCGGGAGTTTTAGACAGGCCAAGAATCAGTTTCGCGGAGTTAAACAAATGCAACATAAACAAAAGCAACACACCTTAAAATAAAATAACATAAACCTAGAGCTCTGTCTGTATTAAACAAATGGTTTCTCATTGAAAACCATTATTGCTTTTTGTTTCTTTGTTTGTTGTTTTGTTTTATGCTTTTGAGACAGATTCTCACTATGTAGTCCAGGCTAGCCTCAAACTCAAGATCCTTCTGCCTGTGTTCCAGAGGGACAAAATAGTTTTCTTTTCTTTTCTGGAATATTTTGCATGACTGTTTAGATGTAGTTACTGTTGTTCCTTTTTGGAGAAAAGTTCGCACATACGCAGAAGGACAATTCCTTAACTGGACTACAAATCCCAGCTCGACGGAGAGCCACGAATGCGCAGGACATTTTCCCAGACGCACCTGGATCCCCTTTAAAAAACGGGGAACGCCATAGCTTGCCCCTTTTCCCTTTTGTCTCTTCACCCCCGTCCCTCACCTGTCGTCACCCCCCCATTAAAGTTCACCCACGTGGGACCGCCGTGTGTCTCATGTTTTCTCTCCAACCCCACAGAAAGAACAACAGTTACCATAAAATAAACGTGTCAGCTATTCTTTTTTTTTTAATTACCCTAGCTTTTGAATGATTTATTATTATTTTCTTTTTCGGCATGTGTGTGGCGTAGGCACACGTGGGTATGTGCAGAGGCCAGAGGCTACCAGGTGTCCTGTTCTATCACTACCCATCCAATCCCTTAAGAGAGGGTCCCTACCTGAACCTGGAGCTGGGCCGGCAGCCAGCAAGCCCCAGTGATCCTTTTTCTCCCAGTCCTACCCCAGAGCTGCGGGTACAGGTATGTGTGAACACATCTAGCTTTTTACATGAGTGCTGGGATTTGAACTCAAGTCCTTATGCCTGCACAGCAGGGATTCTTATCACGGAATCCCCTGCCCCAAGACCAGTTACTTTTGCTCCTGTTCTTATTGTATTTCTCCCCGCTTAGTCTCTGAGCAGCCACCTTAACTGGTTGGAGGTGTTTTAGATCAATGCATTGGTTATTTAAGGATCAAAAAGATGGGTGTGGCTTTCCCTTCTGTGCATCTCCTAAAGGTCAGCGTGTATTTGGAACCTAGTATGGCCAACATGTGTAAGCTCCACCACTATCCCTCAAACTTCTGAAGAAGAGAAGCTTCAAGTCGAGAAAGAAAGGTGTTGCCTGCTAATCTCATTGCAGCAGCAAAGCAAACACAAGCCCATTCCTTTAGAACAATGTTTAAAATTTGCAGAGAAGTAAGCCCTGCCCTTTGTCTGTGAGAACAATAGCACAAAACTGTTGGGGAAGATTTATGACTTGTCTCTCGCCAGTCCTCCCTTTAAGACAGCAAGAAGACAGGTACCATTAGCCCGTGGTTGGTGACAGTGTGGAATTCCGGGGTGCAGTTAGAAAGCGGTCTCGCCCCTCCCCCCACACACACCCCAGTTTGTGGCAAGTATTCAGCTCCAATGAGCCATCAGTCCCTTGCTTGCCTCTCCGGGAGAGTCCCTTCCAGGGTTCAGGGGGATTTCGGTTTATGCTTCTTCTGCCTGCAGCTGGAGTAGAAATTTGTTTTTGAGGAAAAAATGGATCTATATTCCAATCAAAGTGCTTTCCAAGGTCCTAGAATCCCGTTTATTTGTAAATCCATAATTTACTGAACCGTTTTACCTTGCTTGTAAGGGATTCGTGTGCAAATTAACAATACATCTTCGGGTTAATTTATTTTTTGCTGCTGTTCTTGGATTTTAAAAGCGAACATCCCTCAAGATCGCCCTGCTCATAAATACCTCCAGGATGTCTCGGTAGCGCAGAACAGGGGCTCGTTCCTCTACTTTCTTCTTGCGGAATGACGGGTTCAGATATCCAAAAGCAGATAAAACTCGGTGACCCCAGAGAGGCTCTGATTAAACCTGCCGAATCCAACCTGCCAATAAAAACAAAGTGCAGGCACAGCATGAGCGCACAGTTCTGCGTGAGGCGCACAGGGCGGTGCGGGCACGGAGGGTCACCTGCACCCGCGGAGCCTGTGTTAATATTACACTCTTCCTCCCGTGTTCATCGTTTCATAAGCACACTGCTGTTCTAGATAAGACCTCCTTAGAGTCCACTGAGTGTGTGAGTTTCTCTTCCTCGAATAAGTGAGCCAGCAGGCCTCTTTCATAGCCGGCTAGAGAGCAGTGGAACCCTGCCCCAGAGGCTCCTTCCTAACGAGAGGGACGGACAGATTGCTGAGGTTCCGCGATCTGTCCATCCAGATCCATAGTAACGGACTTGTGAAGCTGGTTTGGGAATCTCTGATCTACCAGCCTACCCTCCCTGATTTTAGTGACAAGAAGTGACCAAAAAGAACTGACACAAATGTAACTCCTTACGATATTTCAACCAAGCGGTGACCAGGCACAGAATGGCTACACTAGCTGTTTGAACTTCAGCTGGCCTTTTTTTTTTTTTAAAGATACATCTTCAATTACTATGAAACTAGCATAAGTGTGACTTTACTGAAATGTTTTAGTAAAATCCAGTAGATAAATCAGGTATCTGGAATTCCTTTAATAGCTGTTATTACCAGTTTGACATCTTCTTTTAAAGAAACTGCTAAAATTTTGACAAAATAAATGTGATGGTTATAATTGAACTTGACAGTCTCTCCACGGGGGAAGAGGTGACGCTGCTGTATCGAGAGCGAACGCTCTTGGCCTTATTTCTCCAGCCACACGTTCAGGTTAAATGTGTGCACATCCCGGTGGCCGGAACATCTGTTTCTGGCTCGTTGTTCCTCTTGGCTGCTTTTCAATTGGATTTCCTCGAGCAGGTCCCAGGCTTGTCACCGCAGCCAGGGTCTGTTAAGCCTCACCACTGGTCTTCCATTAAGTGGGAGGTTCAGGGCTAAGCTAATAACTCGCCTGCCTCTCTGACTGATCGCAGGGATGTTCTCTGGGGCCACTTATCATGCGGGCTCCTTGGGGAGGGTCTTCTTTGTCTGCACCTCAGGGTGGAATTGGTTTTGTTTTCCTCCTTCTCAGAGTTGCGTGGAAAAACAGGGCTCACAGTGTGGCCGTGTGAGGCTTTACCAACGCCTTGCCTGACAGGGGTCAAAAGAGCTGTCTATCAAACACAGAGCCCGTTGTGTCCTTTCTACGTGAACTCGATGATACGCAATGATCCTCTCTCCCTCTTCTTTATACACTCTGAAAAGCAAACGAAAAGGAAGTATCGCTCCGTGCAGTTTACAGGAACTCAGTGACTTTTAGAATAAAATTGTAACCTAATAGTGTGAATCTTGGTTATGATTAAAAAGGAGCTGTCTGCTGCAAACCTCTGCTGCTCGTGACATGACAGTGTGTCATCCATACCCAGGGGATGGGACTAGAGGCAGCTAGGTGTTTGTAAAGATGCTTAGAAATTTCTTTATGGGACTGGAAATGTGGCTCAGAGGTTAAGAGCACTGACTGTTCTTCCAAAGGTCCTGAGTTCAATTCCCAGCATCCACATGGTGGCTCACAACCATCTGTAATGAGACCTGGTGCCCTCTTCTGGCCTGCAGGCAGACATATAGGCAGAACACTGTATACAGAAATAAATCTTGAAAAGAAAGAAGAAAGAAATTCCTTTCTGTAACCCAGCGGCTTCAACTTCTCAAGGGTTCTGGCTGTCTCATAAAAGGAAGATGTCCCCCAGCACTTGGGAGGCAGAGACAGGCGGATCTCTGTGAGTTCGAGACCAGCCTGGTCTACAAGAGCTAGTTCCAGGACAGGCTCCAAAACCACAGAGAAACCCTGTCTCGAAAAACCAAAAAAAAAAAAGGAAGATGTCCAAGTTTCCAGGACAGACAAAAAGGGACTTGGGATGTTTGCCCATTGGCAGGGGGAGAGATGACCAGATGACCAGTTCCTTGACCATTTCTACTTTTTTTTTTTTTTTTAGGTAGCTCCTTAGGTAACAAGAAAGTTGGGTTCAGTCCAGGCCCTTATAACCTGGGGTTGACACTTCTGAGTGACTTAGAACCCCAACATTCTCTGAAAGAAGTGGGTTCCCGGTGCCAAACTTGAAAATATTCCTCTCCTCAAGGCAGATGTTTATAGGAACTCCACCCCATTGCCAAAACTTGTCATGGTCCCTTGCAAGATACAAGATGGATCTAGGGTAACTAAGCACTGGACCCCAGTGACAGTTGGGTTCTGAAACACAGCATAGGAGGGCTTTCTGCTGTGTGGGAGGTCATCTTTCTGATCGGAGACTGTCGTGCTGGGAGGGAAATAGATGTTATCAGGCCATCACTGGGTCTGACCAACTGTGACCAGGCAGGTATTTTTGTTCTCGTATTTTTTTTTTTTTTAATCTCTGTCTTTCACTCACCAAGTCTGCTAGAACTTGTGAAAAAGAACCCACTAATGTCTGCCATTGGTTTGGTTTTTAAATGGGAGGATCCCTTTGTTAAAGAGGTTTGAACTTTAAAGGTTGACAGAATCAAGGAGAAACTCTTCAGTTTGGGGTGAGCCTGACTTCTCTCACAGACAAGAAAAAAGAAAACCAGAAGCTCTGGTTATGTGGAGTGCGCTGGCCAGGGCTCCTACAGCCGACTTTTGCAGGTGCCATTCAATACTTTCCTGAACACTCTGGAGAATGTCACCTGCACCTGTCCTCTGCTGCCTTGTAGTCACCAAGTCCAGACACCAAGGAAGGCCTGAGACGCTGAAGCCAAGACGTCCAGACTGTACTCGCGTCAGCTCAGCGGGCTTCCATTTCTGTGTAAGAAAAGTCTGAACTACGCCCGGGGCCTTCCTTCCCTCCCTCTGTCCCCACTTCTGTCAATCCCTCAAAAACAGAGAGAATGTATTGGATATAAATAGAGGGAGGAGCTGAGAAGCCCCTCAAAGAGGGGCTGGGGAGCGCAGAGGAGCACTTGCTGTAGTCTGGGGGCTTGGGTTCAAATCCCCAGAACCCAATTTAAAAGCTGGACATGGTTGAGTGCATCGATGAAACACCCCTCCAAATGCTTGTGGGGTAAGGTGGCAGAGACAGGAAGCTAGCCAGGGCTTGCTGGAGGACAGACAGTATAGCCCCAGGTCCAGAGAGAGACAAAGAGTAAGAGAGTGAGAGTGCAGGGAACTTTGGCCTCCTGTAACACCTGTGCACATAATATGCACAGCACTCGCACATGAGCACGCTCACATACATGTGTGTGCACGCGCATGCACACACACACCCACACCCACCAATTTTTTTAAAATTAGAAAAGAAGAAAGAAAAACTTTGAAGAAAAACCACAGAGGACAGAAGTCACCCAAAGCTGCGGTGTCAGCCCTCAGCTCTGCAGATGCCAAAGAGCCCAGGGGCAGAGAGGCAAAGGGACAGAGAGTGACTGAGGAAGAAATGCCACCCAAGCGGCAAATGTGACCGGAATGATCCCAAGATCATCAAGATTGTCTGCCATGGGCTGGGGAGATGGCTCCGTGGTTAAGAGCCCTTGCTGTTCTTGCAGAGAACCTGGGTTCAGTTCCCAGCACCCACATGGCAGCTTAGAGCCGGCCACCTGAACTTCAGTTCCAGGGGATCTGACATCCTCTCCAACCCTGCTAGGGTACCAAGCACACACATGGTGTTCTGACATTATGATCAGGAAAAGCACCTATACATATTCAGTTAGAAAAATAAAAATAGTGACTCCGAGGCTTAAAAAAAAAAGGATTGCCCAACATCTGCCAACTAATTGTGATCTGTCTCTGATCTGGTGACTTTTCTACACCCACTCTGGACAGATGCAATATGTATGACGGTCCCACAGAAACCCCACCAGCAAATCAGCGTATTGTCAGACATGGCGGGAGGAGGGGCTGAGGGGGGAAGATGTTCACGCTAAGCCGGCACACTTCCCATCTTTGGCTTTAAAAGACTTAATGCGCTGCATGTATATTATAGACAGCGCGATAGTAACCATCCAGAATTTCTGGTTTTGTCATCGTTTTCTAGTTTAGGATTTCTCTCCACACAAGTTTCCTCATTCACTGGATGCAGTTTCTCATTTGAGTTTTCTTTCCCTTATAGCATTGTACCATATTATATCCAGCATTTGCTCCAATCTTAAATAGAATTATACATGCGTACATAGTGGCATATTGACTCTGGGGCCTTGCGTTTTTTAAGTGAAGCATTCTATTACTGTGCCACCCTAGACCCAAACAGAGTTGTTAAGAGCTATGTAATATCCCATGAAAGTGTTCTAGAATTGTCCTATAGCTGGATTTTGAGCCAATATTTTATAGGCACATTTATAGCTAGGCATTGTCTCTGTTATGGCTCAGAGTCTGTATAGTTAAAGAAATGGACCACAGAAACGAATGGTCTCCCTCCCACCCCACACTGCACCTCTCTCTCTCTGTCTCTCTCTCTTCTCTCTCTGTCTCTGTCTCTCTCCTCTCTGTCTCCTCTCTCCAAGTCTCTGTTTGCATCTCTCTCTCTCTTAAGGTCTTGCTAGGTAACACAAGTCGGCCCTGAACTTGTGCTGTTTCTTTTCAGCCTCCCCAGTGCTGGAATCTCTGGCATCCCTTGCTACGCAGAGACAGAAAAATTTTCTTTCACGCTTCTGCTTTTGGAGAAGCTGAGCTTCTGGAATGTTCTATGAAGACATGAAGGTAGGAGGAGGTGGCCGTGATGTTACCTGATCGGCTAAGGTAGGAACCATAAACGAACACCTTACAACAGAAAAAGCATTGCTTTCCATCTTGGATTATGATAAACAGTATCTGAAAGAAAACAAAGGAAGCCTCTGCCTTCTCTTCATTCGTCTACAGGAAGACACCCCAGGGATGGCGGATGGATTAGGATGATAGAAAAACAGAGAGAGTGTATTAATAGGTCTGTAATGACATAAAATTTATTCTGGGGGTGAGGCAAAACTTAATGGTTCATAAATAGCAAATTCAT